CCCATTTCAGCGTTTTGATGGTGTCCTGGACGATGGAAGTGCGGTGGCATGGAGCGTTGTCGTGCTGCAATATCACTCGTTCGTGTCTCGTGTCCCATTCTGGCCGTTTTTCGAGCAATGCATGGTTCAAATTGATCAGTTGTTGTCGGTAGCGATGCCCACTGACAGTTTCGCCCGGTTTCAGCTGCTCATAGTACACGATTCTTTTCTGGTCCCACCAAACGCAGAGCATTGTCTTCTTTCCGAAGCGATTTGGCCGTGCCGTCGATGTTGATGCTTCACCAGGTGAAAGCCACGATTTTTTGCATTTGGGATTCTCGAAATATATTCACTTTTCATCGCCAGTAACAATTCGATGCAGGAAACTCTTTCTTTCACACCGCAAAAGCAAAATTTCAGAAGTGACTCTTCGATTTTCCATCTGTCTCTCAGTCAACTCATGCGGCACCCATTTTCCTTCCTTTTGAATTTTTCCCATGGCATGTAAACGTTTGGAAATATCTTGGCGAGTCATGTTTAATGCCTCCGCAAGTTGATCTTATATTATGATATTTGCATATCATCTTCATCTAATAACGCTTGCAGATCGGTGTCCTCAAATGTTTTTTGTCTTCCGGAGCGCTCCTTGTCTTCAGTGTCGAAATCGCCACTTCTGAAGCGTTTAAACCAATCTTCACAAGTAGTTTTCGATGGTGCATGTTCGCCGTAGGCCTCCTCAAGCAAACGACATGCTTCAGCTGTACTTTTTTTCAAGTTAAAGCAGAAAAGTAAATGCTTCCCGCAAATGCTGTTTATTTGGCACAAAACTCGACATTTTCGTTGTTAGAAAAAATATTTTTGCGTTGCGATATGTGTTGGTATTACGATTGGTTATTGTTAACAGATGTCCAAGCTATAAAAAAAACACAACTTCAGACATGTATGTCGACTACATGTGTCGTTAGCGCCATCCATGTGTGAAACCCGGAAACTTAGTTGCGCACCTAGTAAATGAAATTTTATAGATAGGCCCATTTTCTTTTAGACACAATATACATTAAACAATATTAAACAGTACATATAAGCGAGAGAGGGGCTTCGCCCCTCTCCCGCACCCTCTCCCCCAAACAAATCCTAACCTAACTTATTGCATTTTTATATATTTTTGGACATTGTTGAACAAGTTCTCTTAAGATCTATCACCTAATCCAACTTAACTTATTATATCTATTGGGTGAGTGCAAAAGCACTTTAGTGCTCAATAATCCGCGAATTTCAACAGAAGAACTTGCTACAGCACTAAACGTTGACCGATCAATCGCTTTTCGGCGTTTAAAAAAGATGGGATTCGATTTGAAGCTCGATATATGGGTGCTCCATTTGCTGATCGAGAAGAACAAAATCAAGCGAATTTCTGCAGCCGTTTCTTTACTCGGGCGGCTCAATAACGAGTCGTTTTTGGATCGACTAGTGACGGGCGATGAGAAATGGGTCCTCTACAACAATGTTCAGCGCAAACGGACATGGAAACAATCAGGTGAGCATGGTGACGCAATGCCAAAGGCCAGTTTGCACCCGATGATGCTCTCTATTTGGTGGGATTGCAAGGGCATAATCTATTTCGAGCTTCTCCCCGCTGGCGAAACGATTGATTCGGACAAGTACTGTCGCCAATTAACCAATCTGAATCGAGAAATAAAAGAGAAACGTCCGATTTTGTCAAATCGCAAGGGAGTCGTCTTTCATCACGACAACGCCAGACCACACGTTTCGAAAAAGACGCTGCGCAAACTGAAGAGCCTGAAATGGGATGTCTTAACGCATCCACCGTATTCTCCTGATATCGCACCATCTGACTATCACTTGTTCCGGTCATTGCAAAATTATATAAATGGATAAAACTTTGACTCTTTGGAGGTCTTAAAAAACGGCGTCTCTTCGTTCTTCGAATCTAAACCGCGCAGTTTTTATGATCGAGGCATCCGTATGCTGCCAGAACGTTGGGAAAAGATTATAGAAAACGATGGAGAATATATCATTGATTGAATAAAGATTTTTGTTTGCCTAATCACTGTGTGACTTTTACTCACAAACTCCGCACGAACTTTTGCACTCACCCAATATATACAATTAGGTGTTGTGAGTTTTAAGGAAATCTTTTCAACAACGCCGAAAAATATATAAAGATTCAACAAGTTAGGTTAGGTTAGGATTTGTTTGAGGAGGAAGTGCGCGGGAGGGGCGAAGCCCCTCTCCCGCTTATATGTATTGTTTAACAATGTTTAATGTACATTGTGTCTAAAGAAGTCGAACTCTATCTATAAAATTTCATTTATTTGTAACTTTCTCATAAATTGCAATGTGTATTAGAGATGTGCGAACTATTCGAATTCGAATCGAATCGAATCGAATCTAATGTAATTCGATTCGATTCGAATCCGAATCCCTATGATTCGAATCCAAATAATTCGAAAATCTCGAATCGCGAAGATTCAAATACGAATCAAATATATTAGCGTTTGTGCATATCAGTTATAAAACGGGCCATCTGGGCCTGTATATTTGAACCCTTAACTTATTTTTAATTAATTATTAATTAATAATGTTTAATTGCTGTAATTAACCTAACTTATAATTAATAACTTAATTATAAATTACTATAAATATTTAAATATTTTATTTTAAGATATTTTATTTTAAGATAATATTAGAATATTAATATTCCTTTTCATATTAAAATCTTCCATCATTATTTGCACGTTTAATATTCATGGTAAATTTTTTAATGGTTCGATTCGATTTGATTCGAATTCGAATTTAAAAAATGAGATTCGATTCGATTCGATTCGACATAAAAATTCTTGATTCGCACATCTCTAATAAGTATGTGTTATGGAGTGATAGAAAGTGGAAAGTTTCTCCCCTATTCACATATGTATACAGTATATAATATGTAAATATATACTGTGTCGAGAAATTACGTTTCACTTATGAAATTTTTTTGTTAATAACTTTTTAATAAACAATAAGCGACGGTTGAAGCTTGTACAGTACTTAGAAGAATGACCTTAACAACATATGTCAAGGTGAAAGTTATCGGAACTGAGGTCCCTAAACAGCATATTTACCTTATTTTGTTTATAACTTTGTTATGAACAATGAGCGCGGGCTAAAACTTTCAGAACATTACTCGGGGTGATGACCTTGATAACATATGTGAAAATCATTGACATCGGAAGGTGGTCCCTAATTCTGCATAATTACCTAAATAACTAATAATTAATAAATAATAAATAAATTAATATGACGAGAGAGGAGGGAAATTATGAGGGAACAATTACGAGAGAAAAAGAGAAGAAGAAAGGGAAACATTTAAAAAGATTTAATTAGGTTAGATTATGTTAGGTTATATAGTTGTATCATATTAATTTTACCGTTATTTATTGACTAAGAATAAAAGAAAGTGTTAGGAGTATTTTATGAAACCTCTCAATCGATTGCAGGTGCAATTTCATAGATATATATTTTTATTTTATCGTATTTTACAAAAATTTTAAGTTCAAATTTTAATATATACTTCTGATGTGACCAATCAATAAATCTATCTAAATGTTGTCTGGAGATTTAAAAAAAACCCAAATAAACAGACATGTTGACAATGGCATGCACGCATTCAACATATAGTTTATGATACCATTGGAGCGGCATAACATGTTTGTAATATGCCTGCTGTAAGAAATACTATGCTGTAAAAAATAGTATTTATTATTCCATACTTTGCAGCAAATTATCAGTTTGTTTATATTACCGATTAATTGCGTCCTCTTACCGATAATATGTGATATGTACCGCAATTTTCATGGCATCATATTGCTTCTTTTATATACTGCTACAATACTTTTTGTATAAAGATGCATCTTTACATATTTATGCTACTATTTTAATTCTCGAATTCAGTCTCTATGCAGACAATGTGGCAAAATTTGTCTATCTGGGAAGGGAAAAGCTAAGTTAAACAAAATCGATTTTGATATACAGCAAGTTTGAAATCGAGCAAAATTGTTGTAAAAATATATACAAGTATATAATACCATATAATGTAAGTATGTATATAATAGTGTATAATACCATAAAGTATATCATGTTTTAAATGAATTCTAAAAGCATAATAAAAGAAACTATGTTTCGAAATTATCTTGCATGATAACCTTACATTACGTTCGTGACATCAATAGGGCAATTATGATACTGATACTGACTGATATTGCATCAAGCAGTTTGCTTTATAAGCATCATAAGTGACAAATAAATGATAATATTCAGTGACTTGTTTAACACAAGATGCGTCTAAATATATTTTATAATGAAATACTAGAAATATCATATATGTATATGTAATATGTTACAGTTATATATATATAATGTTTCAAACGTTCAAAAATTAAGGGTATTTTTTTATTACGAATTTTAACGAAAATATAATAAATTAAAAATGTATGTCCTCTCTTTCTCTCTCTCTCTCTCTTTCTCTCTCTCTCTCTCTCTCTCTCTCTCTCTCTCTCTCTTTCTTAACTAAAACTTTTTTAGTTAAGAGTTTAAAACTTTTTTCATTAAGTCATATTAAAATTCTTCTAAAAATTGATAATACAAAAAAGATTACAGGGAAAAGGAAAGAGATACAAAAAGGAAACAATATTCGAAATAATTTAAAACATCATTGTATATTCTAGAGTCAAGAATATGAGTTAAGAATATAGTCAAGAATATTGGATTTAAATCGAATTCAGTAAACTGTTATTGCTTCATTTGATTTCAACATTTGTCATGTTTTTTTCTTATGTACTTAATCACCTAAAATAACTTCACTAAATGACTTGCTATATCAGAGTTCTATTTATCAAAGAGCAATGGTAGGGACGATTAAAGCTATCACAGTTCGATGTTTCTAATCTCAAGTAATTTCTGTACATTTGTCCGTAACGCCACTTCTTCGTAGTGTAACTTCTCATTCATTCATACAGATCACTTAAAATGAGTATTCTGAGGTTTTATAAGGCACCCGGACTAAAGGTGGGCCAGCTGAAAAATAAGCTGCACAAAGTGCTACAAATTGAGGCTTCAGTGATCAGTCTTGAATCTGAATTATGTTACTATGTGGAAACAGAGCCGCTTGAAAAAGAGGAACTTCATATATTAAAATGGATTTTAGCACCTTCTTTTGAACAAGAATCCTTACGAACTTACAGTGAGTTTAATGAAACTGAAGATTATTCTGTCATTGAGATTGGACCCAGGTAAAACTTATTTTTGAAATTTTTTTACGTGCATAAATAAATATTCTATTTGTTAATGAATTTTTGATTTGTCATATTTATTATTTTCATATTTATATCAAAACATAGTTTAATTTAAACTAAACACACATACTTTATACATAATTTTTGTTTTTCTTAACGAAAAGATGAATTTACAATAAATTAAATAAAAAAATATTTAAAACAATTATTCTCTTTTACAGGTTGAATTTCTCAACAGCATTTTGTAGCAATGTTGTTTCTATATGTAAATCTGTCAAACTAAGCAAAGTAAAAAGAATAGAGGTAGCGATTCGATATAACATCAAGTGGACAAAAGGATTTAATAAAGAAACTGAAAAAGCCGTATGTATAATTTTTATATTATGTGCATGTTTGGACTATTTATATTAATTTTTTTTTAATATTAAAATTATATAATTAAAACTATTATATAAATATATGTAAAAGTGGAAATACCCCTAGACACTATTTTTTATACTACTATATCGTTTCACTTATTTTTTAGATTGTTGATATTTTGGGAGATAGAATGACAGAATGTAGGTACGAGAAACCTATAAAAACATTTGATCATGGCTTTAAGCCAGATAAATGGTTTGAAGTTGATATAATGAAAAGAGGTAGGACAGCTTTGGAAGAAGTTAATACAAAATTGGGTGAGTAATAACATACAATAGATCAAAGTTGGATTTTTTAAAAGACTTAGTCTTTATTTAATTAAAAGTAAATTATATTGTACTATATTATATTATATTATATTATATATTATATTATATATTTATATTACTTAATTAAAAGTAAAATATATAATAATTTCTTATATTCAATAGCACCACAAAAAAAGTTAATTAGAGCACACGCCAGATATCAATAACGAAAATTCTTCAACTACAGAACAAGATTACCTAAATGTTTCGGTTATTATTTCGACCTTTTTCAATTTATTTATTTCGACCTTTTTCAGTAGGAAAGAACTTCACAATATGTACAGAGCTCTTTAGAAGAGGCAGTTTTGTTCTGATCTCTGTACATGCTATGAATTTTTTCTTTCCTTTGCACTTAGGAGGGTTAGAATAATGAATGAAATGTTTGGCTAAAGCTAATCTTGTTTGTAATTGAATCTGCTAATCTGTCTTGTAATTGAAAAATGTTTGCCATTAACATGTGTTTTAATTAGTTTTTTTAATGCTGTTAAATTTGTAGAGCTTTGATAATTTATTTTCTCTGTTTTCTATTTTTTATAGTTCCTTAAATTATGTTTAACACACAAAAATCTTGAAAAAACTAAACCAAAAGAAAACATTTCAAACTAAAGTTATAAGGTTTCGTACATGTGAAGGTATATGATAATAATAATATTATTACGTTATACAAATATTTTCTTAAAGGTTATTTTTAGATTCAATTTATTAAATGGAATGATGTTTCTTCAATACAAAATTATTTCTCTTGTCATTTTGTATATAAAAATACTTAGATAAGATCATTGACAAATAAATATTTTCCGAGAAATTTTACATTTTATCTTCACACTTTTTATTGTATACAAGGTAAGTCAAAAAGATGGGTACCCCGGAATATCTCAGAGGGTTTATGTTTTTAGAATAAATATTATATAAACGAAATAATTATAAACGAAAGTTATAGGATTTCAAGAGGTATATCTATTAGTCTTATCAGTTTGGCTTTGAACGGCGTTGTCAAGGTCAGGTTAAGTCAACTTAATTAAAAAAACCAATTTTTTTATTATATCACCTTTTTCTACCAATTAATTTTAACAATTTTTGTCTGAAACATTTTTTTATTTGTCTAATATTTTTTTCAGATATTTAAGGAAAACTCGATAACTTGTTCAATATTTACTTTACGATATCTTATTAACTGTTTTTCGGAAGATAAAGTGGTACTAGACTTTTTTACTCTATTTGCCTTAAGAATATATTGTTACAATAGCGCCTTGACTTTTATTAATTTGATGATTTTGAAATTTCCAAAGGTCGATAAGTTAACAAAAGGTAAGGAATTATTATAACAATATATTCTTGAGACCAAATAAAGTAAAAAAGTCTAATATTACTTTTTCTTCCGACAAACGGTTAGCGAGATATCGTAAGTTAAATATTGAAAAGTTACCAAGTTTTCTTTAAATATCTCAAAAATATTAGGCAAATAAAAAAATGGATAAAAATGTCGAATAGGGGACCCCGCTCCTATGACTTTGACCTTGACATACGTTTTGTCAAGGCCACCTTCCTGAATAACATGCAAAAGGTTTTACCCGTCGCTCGTTGTTTGTTAAAAAGTTAGCAAAAAAAGTTTGGTTTATATATAAGTTGCAAGTGCGTTTAGTACGGCGCGCTACGCGCCCCCCCTACCTCATCCCTCGCCCCCCGCCCCTTCCCCATCCCTCCCCTATGTACCCTATGTCCCCTACACGCACTTGCAACTTACTACTTTATCTCTATGAGAAAAAGTTGGAAATGGAAATAAAGTTAGATTAGATTACGTTATATTGTAGTTCGACCTGTTCCTGTTCGGGTTGTAAACGAATTCGTAAATATTTGTTTTGAAACGTCTAGAAGTTGTCGCTGTTGTTCTTAGCATTTGGATAATATAGCTCGTTTAGTTATTGGAATGTCTTCATACAGTGAGCATTGTATAACGAATACTTCCAAAATGTGTTTATACGAGTTTATTAATATTACATGCAATTTTGACTCCATGTGGAATTACTTATGTGAAAAGAAAGTTGTTCGCAATAGAATATTGTGTCCTAAATGTAAAAACGAATTGAAATTACTGAATAATGCAGAAAATCATATTTTTCATATACATTACATTATACATATGTACAGATACATTAAATGTTTGAATAAAATTATTTAATTCTGGTAAAAAATTTCTGCACGATGTAACATAACTTAATCTGACCTTATTTTCATTTTTAACTTTTTCCCATACGGATAAAGTCGTAAGATATAAGTGCATTTAGCACGGGGGAAGGGTTGGGAGAGGGGGGGCGCGTAGCGCGCCGTGCTAAATACACTTCCAACTTGTGCGTTTATGAAAATTTTTAGCAATAACTTTTTAACAAACAACGAGCGACGGCTAAAATTTTTTGCACATTACTCAGGAAGGTATTCTTGACAACATATGTCAAGGTCATAGGAGCGGGGTCCCCTATTCGGTATTTTTACCAAAAAATGTTTCAGATAAAAGTTGTTAAAATTAATTGGTAGAAAAAGATGATATAATAAAAATAGGTTTTTTATTAATTAAGTCGACCTTTTTTGATAACGGTGGGGAAATCCATCATGGATACCCCCGCCCCTTGGGGAGGGCGGGGGTTATGCCGGATTCCTACCGGCTAAAATCCCATCGGGATGCCTACCGCTCGGACCGAAGTGGGAGGAGTCAGGGGAACTACACCTGCATTCCCTCCTCGACACCTCGGCCCCAGGGCTCTCCGGGAGCTCCACTCCCAAGTACCGCGCCCCTCCCACGGAAGAAGTCAAGGGCGCAGTGCCCCGGCAGGGCAACCGGCCGGGTTGGCCTTTCGGTCTAAATTATGGAGGGAGAGGATACCCGCCCTCCCTCCTCGCTCCCACCTTTCCCCTTCCCTACTGGGTAAGTAGGGGGGCAGAAATGAGACCTGGCCCCAACTAAGCCCCCCACTCCCCTTCTCTCTGCCATCACCGACGCGCTGTGGGTGGGCAGCTTTAAACCCCCTCACCCACTCCCACCGCTTCGTCGAAGGAGAGCCCGAGGCAGCCGAGGATGCCTCCGAGGGATCGGCGGCTGCTCCTCGGCCGACGCCACCTCAGGCCCTTTCCCCCCGTCGTACCCTGCGACGGGGTCTGGGTCGGCGCTTCCATTCGGCGGCTTCCTTGCGAGACATTACCTCCCGGCAAAAGGAGGCCGCTGCTCCTCATACCTCCTCGCTCCCGCACATTGCTCGCAGCAAGTGCGGGAGCGAGAGGGCCCCCTCTTGGCACCCCACTGCCCGAGCGAGGACACGGCGCAGCGGTTCCCACGCCTGGCATTCCGCCAGAGTGTGCTGTACCGTGTCCTCTCGCACCGGGCAGTGGTGGCATTCCACGGTGGGCTCCCTTCCAATCCGGCGCAGGTACCGACCGAAGCAACCGTGCCCGGTCAGCACCTGCACCAGATGAAAAATGTGTCTGCGTCCCCTCCTGTCCGCCATTTCTGACAGACAGGGGCGGACGGCCTCGGCCATTCGAAGCTCGAATCTCTGGGGGTCTGCCAGTATGGCCGACCACTATTCCAGGACTCGGGCTCTGACCTGGGATCTCAGGGCCCCCAGGTCCCTGGCCGATAAACTCTCCCCTTCCTCGCGGAGCTCCTTCACCCTCCAATAAAGCTTGTGCCTTTCATCGGCTAGAAGCTCCACGGGATGAGGGGGAGCCAACCAGGGCCGTCGCCGCCCTATATGAAATAGTGCGGTAGCCCCGGATCGCCCTCATGACCACCGACCGCATGTCTCCGCGCAGGAGCATTTTGTTGCGGTCGGAGACCATAAGCCGAGGCATCCATATGGGCGCCCCGCAGAGGGTGATCGAGAGCACCACACCGATATAGAGGCGGCGAGGGTGCCATTCTTAACATTATCTAGGGAGAGGAGAGTGTCGTGAACGTGGAGCGTCAGGTAGCTCAGTGGTCTAGAGCAGTCGCCCGGCAAGCGAAAAACCCGGGTTCGATTCCCGGTCTAGCGACTACCACGCTATATTTTTCTCTCTTCGGAACGAAAGTAAGATTCAGGTCCCGAACGCACGGCGTGCCGTCGCCACCTAGTATGCCCTCCTTCTTTCATGGTTTACGGGCCATTAAGTTGACCTTGACCTGATCTTAGCAACGCCATTCTAGGTCAAACTGAGGTTAATAGATAGACCTCTTCAAATCCTTTCGTTCATAACATTTCTTTCAAAAATGTAATCCCTCTGAGATATTCAAGGGTAAATATTATTTAAAATTCGCAAATGGTCGAGGTAAGCACACGCTATTGTCATATTTGTAATACCTCGACCAGGTATAGGCACGTGAACAACACGAATATTAAACACATCAAAATAAATGATCGTTCCTCAATGCACAGGTCGGATAAGACAACTCGGTCGCTTTATCTATTCTATTGTAATCGCGATCGCACGCTTGACGGTTCAAATCGGTAACGACTTCGTTTGACCGAATAAAATCTATTCGGTAAAAGATCGTTATAAGTCAGTTTTCACTTCCGCTCTTGATTAGTTCTTCTAATTGTTCTGATTAGTTCTTAATTAGTTCTAAAACCCGTATTACCTTTGGGCTCATCGCTGAGCCGAACCAGCACGCGGGCGGTCCATCGGGACGCACTTCTTAGCCAGGGCCACCAAACTCCCATGTATTATGTGGGGACAGTGTTTGCGCGCCCTCGCAAATTGGGTACCCTCGTAATCGGAACTAAATATCGATTCTGTACTATATTCTGTACTCAGTCGATAAATATGTTTAATAATACAGAACAAATTTTAACTTTTGTTTCTGTTAAATGGAAATAAGAAGATGACTTTTGTATATTTATTTACGCTGATTTCAAATTTTATTACCATTTTTTATATCGAATATAACTTTTTGTAACACATTTTTGGTATAACGAAATAACAATGATTTTATTAAGTGAATACTTTTTAGTGTTTATTATGTTTGTTGATATACTGATTCTGAATATGAAGTCCGAATGAAAATTAAAATAAAAGTTTTACATAGAGAATTTTACAAGAATTCAGGCGTATATCATTAATTATGAGTTCATTTTCAGATGCAAAAAGAATTTATTTTTGACAACTCTCAGAAAAGAATTATCTTATTTGAATTCCCTGTGCTATGTATTTTACATATTTTACAATATCATTCCATATTATTTGTAGAAATCAAAATAATAATATGAAATGATATTTCTTAATGCATTGATAAGATAATATTGGGCTATAAGTGGAACTTAATGCAGAATGAGGTAGATCTGTTACTGTCTTTAATTTCACACTCACAATCAGTATATCAAAAAATTTAAGAAATAGTAAAAAGTATTTATTAAATATAATCGTTGTTGACCAGTATAATTAAAACTTAAATAGAAATAAAATTTGAAAATTACAAAAGAAAAAATAGATTGTTGTTGTTATAATTAAAATTCATTAAACATTTTGTTTGCAAGTATTAAATATAATATGTCACCACAGTTCTCGAAAAATACAATAACTGATAAATATTAGCCTATGAGAACTTTTTGCCGTTGTTGGGTTGATTTTGTTTACAATTCTTTTTTAAATACCGTTTTGCCATCCTATTAGCTTCATTATACATAAAATTACTAAACCATTCATCTTGCATTTTTCCATTTAAAATGTTATTAATAAATTTACACCATTGTAATATAAAATATTTTGCTATTTCTTTGCTCATAATATTCTTAAGATTGATACAATGCGTCGGCATCAACAATATTTCTGTGTTTAACATATGTATTAATTTGTTTAAAATTTTCGTTTCATGGCAAATATAAGAAAATCTTATTTCTAAAATATCAATTGATTTTTTGATGATTTCTAAAATGAGCTGGCTATTTATCATTTGTTCACATTCTGTGCATTTTCTTAGTAATTCATAACGCATAATATTTTGTAATATTTATATAATATTTTGTAATATTTATATAATATTTTGTAATATTTTCTGCGCGTCTATAAATAAATGTGTATCAGTTGTTTCTGATATTGCAGCTTCTGTACATTCAATATGTTTCTCTTCCTCTGAAATTGTAATTTCATCAACAGAGAACATATTTAATAAAGCTAGCGATGAATTTTCCTCATTTCCTTCACAATTAGATGAAAGCGAATGTCGGGATGTCAAATTTGTCGTAATTAAAGTCTTAAAACAAGCACCAAATTGATACGGAGACGGATTTATGTTCCTATGACCATTATCTCTTATTTGCCTAAAACAGTTTTCAATAGGATCTTGATTGATATATTTTAAATTTAAATGTGAAAATCCGACATTATAGAGCATATTCCATAATAGTTTTGCGCCATTAATAGTCCAGATCCAATTGTGCAAGCATTTTGGGGCATTTCTTCGCAGAGAAATATGATTTATTTTTTCGACAAATTCCATACGTCGAAGTTTGTTACATGCTTCTTGCCAAAAAATAAGATGTTCACTTGTAATACTTATAATGCTGGAAAGTATTTTATCTTTTTTCCCATTAAAGGAATCGAAAAGATCGTCGAAAAATAATATAATTTCTGATGTTGCGACGGCATCTACAGGTAATTGTATTTGGCCTTTTTTAGTATTGACAACACCTGCAATAAAATATACTATTTGAATATAATGCATGTTACATATATATAAATAGCTTCGTAAGTCCAGTAAATGTTATTTTTTTATGCATTATTTTATATATTCAAATTATATTGTATTATATTATTTTTTTATTTGTATAATATTAGTTTTATGTATTTTAGTTATTTATTTTATTTATAATATATATTTTCTTTTATTTATTTATATTATATTATTCTATAATTTTTATTTATTCATATTATATTATTTTTTATTTATCTTTTCTTTTATCTTACTTATGAATAAATGTTTTGTACCTTGATTCAAACTCAATATAATGTCCATGAAATTTGCTACCGTGTGGCTAAGGACTTGAGTCGCATATTTTACTTTCATTTTTGGAATTATATCCATAAAAATATGTTCATCACTTAATTTTGGCATCTGTCTTTGTCTTAAAAGTGAATGTTTATCTATTTCATATGATATTATAATATGAGTCCAAGACGCAAACATTTTATCGTCTTTTTTCTTGTATTTGTCAAGAAGATCTTTTGTTAATAAATTATTACGTACTCCTTTTTGGAGGTGAACATAATCATAAAGCGGAACAATCTCTTGTTCTTTGACTACAAAAGTATTTTCTGTAAATTATTAATAATACATAATAAATATATTTTAAATATTATTTACAATATTATAAAAGAAAAGAAAAAAAATAACAAATGAAAAGAAAATATTAAAAAAAAATTAAAATATTTTGGTATTATGAACACATACATAATTTATAAGTAGTAAAAATGTAAATTTATAACAATTGTACTTACTGGGTTTTTTTATTCTTATCGTTTATGATTGGTTTCCTGAATTAAATAATTTATAGCTGCAATATTAGAGCTTCCTTGATCGCATACAGTTCCGATTGGTTTGAAACCGGATTTTATGATTATCGTCAACCATTCTTTGATCTTACATCTTAAAAGTTGAACTGTATTGGTTGTATTGTTACAAAAGCCGTAACCAATAGGCATATGAGTGCCACGCGTGAGACATCTCATATAAAACACAATCGCATGATCAGCGAATTTACGTATTCGTCTCGTTCCCCAATCCTCAAAACCAATAATTTTGTCTTCTTTTTCGTTATATTGTACGGCAGGTTGTAAGGACATTTCGTCCCAAATTACAATACAATATAAATCTTTTATATCACTGATCTCTTTGGCGACTTGTTTTAGATATTTCGAAATAATATTGTTACATCCAGTATTAATATTAATCTTTTTAAATTGATTATCTAAAGTGGTACTAGATGGACATAATAGATATTTTTCTAAAAAATTGTATGCAGAACGTGATCTGCGATAAATGTTGATGCAAAACATTTTGTCCTGTTCTGTGTAACGTCTTGCCTGTTGTATTAATTAAAATAACTTGAGTACAATAAATGCATGATATCGATCAATGTAAAATAATATTAATATAACATATTAATATTATTCTGCAAGTACTTAAAATATAATTAATTGAAAATATTTATAAATGATAAATATATATAATTGATTGAAAATAATGATCATGAATGCAAAGAATTAATGTTTTTCTTACAATTAAATTAATTATCAATTTGTTATTTGACATTTAATATTATCTCTTTCTTTTTCCTCAATGTAAAAAAAGTAAATATTGTACTTTTCATACATGTATCAAATTCAAACAAAAGAAATTGCAAAATATAGAGCTATTTATACAAAGTGTCATAAGAAAAAGTACAAAATGTTATAAGTAAAGAAAAAGTACAAAATGCTAATAAATAATATAGTAAGTCATGTTATATTAAGCGTAACATTAATTGTAATAAAATTATTGGAACATTACTAGAACTTTGGAATTTTATACCTGTGATGGTACATTATTATTTCTCAATACCATATCTATAAATTGTTGTCGCACAGATGCATTTTTACCGATTCTTCCTTTTTTGTCAGTCGTACTTAATGTTAGTGATTTTTTTTTCTCTTTCATTTGGTTGACTACATATGTCAAACGTCTTTTACTTTTCTTTAATTGTACTATTTTTTCATACAATCTACTGGCCTTTGGAGATAATGCATTTTTTCTTGTGATTTCTCCGAGTTCAGATCTCCTACGTTGATGCTGTATCATATTAATCTTTTTTTGTTGTTGTTGTAGTCGCTGTTTTATTTTTTCTATTTTCTCATTTTGTTCTTGCATTAATTTCATTTGTTCATCCATTCGAACTTCCAACACATGACATTGCTCTTTGCAGGAAGAAATATGAGCAGAACAATTTGTATTTTTACTTGTGCTTTGAGATGTCATATTGAGATCAGTGAGTTGCACAGAGCTGTTAATAGAAGAATAAGAAATTTACTTTCTTCTAACTCTACATTATTATATTACATTATTCATACTTAACAATGTTATATCTTGAGCCATTAATAGACTTTCAATATATCCATTTTGAGCCATTAATAGACTCCGTCAATAAATAACAACTTTGTTTCAGAAATATTGATACTATCAGACTTACCATTCGTTACTGTTTTCTAATTCATTGCAATTTTGTAATTTTTCACAGCTTTGCAATTCTTCATTATTTCTTCTTTCTTCACTATTTTCTGTCTCTTTCATTTCAGATATATTTTGTGGAAAGTCTGTACTTGTTGCAATATGTTTTACATTGTCCTCGTCCACATATATAGAAGGAACTGCAGTAAAGTAAACCTAGTAAAGAACGTTTTATGAGAGTATTATTATAATCACTTTCACGAAAATGTTTATAACAAACTCGCATTTTTTCTATTTCCTTTTCTTCTAACACAGGTGTTATTCGTAAATTTAGGAACCATTGCATTCTACGTTCGATTTTTTTTGGAAATCTATGTGATGGTGCTTTTTTCCCTGAACTACATTCAATAATACAGCACGCTCTTCCTACCATTTTTTCTATAATATTTAATAAATTAATCTTTAAAATATATTTTTAGATTTTACACATATAAAAAAATATATATATCCTTCCTTCCTTATAATATTGTAATATCTACTATATCTATATCTATATCTAATTTCTATCTAGTTATTCTATCTTATATCTAGTTTCTAACTATTCTATCTTATATCTAGTTTCTATATCTAATTTCTCTGAGAGAATATCAGAGAATATATCTCAACGCCGTTCACAATGTTGTCTCAAATCAAAAAGAGTTAAATGGAGTAAAAATAATGCGTATGATCAACACCACTTGAACACCATTTAACAACTACAGTTGACTTTTGTTTCTGATATTTATAGATATCTAGCCTAACCCAACACTGTAGTACACTTTACCGACTGCACATTACGCGTCAAATGTTAGTTCCGAATACGAGGGTACTCAATTTGCGAGGGCGCGCAAACACTGTCTCCTATAATCCCATAAGAGTTTAGTGGCCCTGTTCTTAGCCCATAGACATTGGGTCCTTCGAGGCCATCTTTTTGACTCACCTTGTATATGTGTGTACGTGATGCGTGCGTGCATGTACGTGTATGTGTGTGAGATCTGTTGAAAAAAAGATGATCTTTAAATTTTCGAAGCTGTTCCATTTTGTAGAAAAGTTTTTGGATTACCATTGTAAGATTTTTTTGTATATCATACCAATAGTTATTAGATGAATTTTCTTCCTATTTTTATAGTTCGAAGATACTCCATGTAATAACTCAGCAAACATAGTAATATGCAATATGACATTTATACACATATAATATACATATAATATATACTTTAGTTGGAATTTCTATTCAAACAAATATATATAGTTATACAGGGTGAAGAAAAAACCCCGGGACCCCTGAAAATTTCGAAAAATATACACTTTATAAAAAAATGTTTCAGACAAAAGTTGTATCGTTGAAAAAGATCTATTTACAGATCTTAATAATTTGACCCTGGGTGGCGTCATCAAGATCAGGACAAGGTCACCTCGGATTTTTTAAATGGAACTCCCAATTTTTTATTACATATTCTTATAGCCGTTCTTCAGATCTTTCCAAAGCACTATGGTTTTATTCAATTTGAATAAGCTGTTCCGAAGTTATCGAATTTTTTAAAGTAAGATATCTAGCCAACTAAGGCAAGATTGGAGGATGATCCGGCCAACTAAGGCAAGGTCGGAGTGATCGAGCCAACTAAGACAAGATCAGAGGATGATCCAGCCAACTTGTAAAAATAATTGCGCGACTAACTTCCAGGCGTTGGTTCCTATTTGCTTGTCTTAATTTCGTTGATTGATTTATTTCAGTTATTTATTTATTTGAAGTATTCTGCTGTTCGATGTTTATTTCTTCCATTTACTCATTTAATACTCATTACAGTTTAGTGAATCGCAAACTCGACTGAAATTCCTCCATTTTTTTGAAAATTATTAAAAAACAGTTTGAAGCTAGTTGTAAGCTGACTTAATTGCACTTCATTCCGTGCTCATTATTATTCTTCAGCACTGTCTTTAGAATAACTTTGAATCGATCCAAATATTAATTTAGTCGATTAGACTAAATCTTACCACTTCTGCTCGTCAATATGACAAGTCTTTCAGAACGAAAACGCATATCTTTTTTGATGATGAGAAGATGGGATGATCGACTAAGGTCGTACAATGATGTGAGGCGGCTTTTTAATGAAACTTTTCGTAATCAGGGTAATGCCATTTCAAAATCTACCGTTGAAAGAACGATAAGGCGTTTTCAGGTTAGCTGCTGATTACAGATACATTCAAAAAGCCGTTTCATCTTTTTACGATAGATTAGCTTATTGTCAAACTGTTGATGGCGGACATTTTGGACAATTACTTTAAAGCTTTCAAGTATTGTCTTAGTTGGCCGGACAACTCCCGACCTTGCCTTAGTTGGCTGGATCATCCTCCGATCTTGCCTTAGTTGGCCGGATCATCCTGCGATCTTGCCTTAGTTGGCTGGATCATCCTCCGATCTTGCCTTAGTTGGCTAGATATTTTACTTTAAAAAACTCGATAACTTCGGAACAGCTTATTCAAATTGAATAAAACCATAGTGCTTTGGAAAGATCTGAAGAACGGCTATAAGAATATGTAATAAAAAATTGGGAGTTCCATTTAAAAAATCCGAGGTGATTTTGTCCTGACCTTGATGACGCCACCCAAGGTCAAATTGTTAAGATCGGTAAATAGATCCTTTTCAACGCTACAACTTTTGTCTGAAACATTTTTTTATAAAGTGTACATTTTTCGAAATTTTCAGGGGTTCCGGGGTTTTTTCTTCACCCTGTATAAAAGTAATATACTGGGTGATAAATTTAATTCCTGCTGCTCGCTACTAAAGGATGCCGACTCCAACATTGGCGAGTTTTGACGGTGAAGTCGCATGTTTGTTGTAGTTTAGATATTGCTGAAAGTGATTCAGTCCTCACAGGTTAAATTTCTCGACGCCAAAGAGATTTTCCAATCGGTTGAAAATGAACCGCGATAAGCTGTTTTTCCGACATGTGCTTCTTTACTACTTCGACCTCAAGAAAACCGCAGCTGAAATGCATTGTTTATTATCCGAAATGTGTGGTGATGAAACTCCGTTGTAAAGAACATAGAGTTTGATTTGAGCGTTTTCGAAATGGTGATTTTAACATGAGAGACAAAGAACCTGAACAGCCGAAAAATTTGAAGATGTTGAGTTGCAAGAAAATTGCTCGATGAGAATCCAGCTCAAACGCTTTTAGAATTGTCGAAAACGTTAAATGTTATTCCAATGACTGTTTCAAAACGTTTGCATGCCATGGGAAAAATTCATAAGGAAGGGATATGGCTACTACATGAGTTGTCAGAAAATACTATTTTGAATCGTTTATCTATCGCGATTTCTTTGCTTGCCAGGCAAAAAAAGAGTTTATTGTGGCGTATCGTGATTAGCAATGAAAAATGGATTTATTTTGATAATTCCAAGCGGAGGAAATCATGGGTGGAGCCCGGCCAACCATCCACTTCAATGTCGAAGAAAAATATTCGCGGGCATAAGACCTTGCTCTGCACTTGGTGGGACCAAGAGGATGTGCTGTATTACGAGCTTTCGCGTCCAAATGAAACCGTTACACCTGATCGCTACCAATTACAGCAATTATGTCAATTGAGTAACGGGTTGATACAAAAAAAAACCGTCCATAGCCAACAGTTGATACAAAGTCGCATTCTTTTGCATGATAACGCTCGACTGCATATTGCGACAAGCCTGAAGCAGATACTTCTAAAGCTTGAATGAGAAATCCTCCCACATCCAGCGTGCTCTCCAGACTTTGCATCGGATTATCATCTTTTCTGATCGATGCAATACGCACTTACGGATATACAGGGTGCACGATTTATCTGAAGACATTGAAATATCTCGAGAACTATGCATTGGATAAAAAAAAGTGGTTAATGAAAGTTGTTAGTCTCGAAGGGGGACATCCAATGATATCAAACCTCTTACCCCACCCCCTGGGGGTGGGAGCAACTTTGAAATCTTAAATGGAAACCCCCATTTTTTATTGCAGATACGGATTCTATGCCACAAAATACGTAAATTTTGTCCGAAACTTTTTTTTGATTCGTGATAGATGGCACTGTAATCGCAAAAAATTATATTTTCCGTAATTCCCCAGAAATGATCATTGGATTGAGAAATAAAAAATACCTGTTCAATATTTTTAAAGAACATAATAAAAGTTATTCCCCCCCCATCCTCTCGGGGTAGGGTGGGTGGTAACGTTCAAATCTCAAATGGGAATCCGAATCGAAGAGGGAACTGCTCGACGCGCCACTGTGGGTGTATGGCGAACTACGGCTTATTATAAAAGGCAGTGCAATGCTATCTATCACAAATGAAAAAAATTGTTTCAATAAAAATTTCACATACAATCTAATTCTGCAATGAAAAATGTGGGTCCCCATTTGAGATTTGAACGTTATCACCCACCCTACCCCGAGAGGATGGGGGGGGGAATAACTTTTATTATGTTCTTTAAAAATATTGAACAGGTATTTTTTATTTCTCAATCCAATGATCATTTCTGGAGAATTGCGGAAAATAATTTTTTGCGATTACAGCGCCATCTATCACGAATCAAAAAAAAAGTTTCGGACAAAATTTACGTATTTTGTGGCGTAGAATCCGTATCTGCAATAAAAATGGGGGTTTCCATTTAAGATTTCAAAGTTGCCCCCAACCCCCACCCCCAGGGGGTGGGGTGAGAGGTCGAGTTTGGTATCATTGGATGTCCCCCTTCGAGACTAACAACTTTCATTAACCACTTTTTTTATCCAATGCATAGTTCTCGAGATATTTCAATGTCTTCAGATAAATCGTGCACCCTGTATACTTCTCCAGTTACGAAGAAATCCAAAAATGGGTGGATGTATAGATCACCTTGAAAGACATCGCGTTCTACCATTCGTGAGATTGTCCTGTTGCTGGAGAGATGGGAAAAAGTAGGAAAAAATGGAGAAAATTACTTTGATTAAAGTTCATTCATCTTCCCTTTGAAACAAATCAATTTTGGAGATGAAAAAACGACAGGAATTAAGTTTATCACCTAATATATACGAGGGTAGTCCCAAAAGTATTTGACCTTTTTTTTTGATGACCCAGGTGAAATCCCTTATGGGTACCAACGGACCGTGCGGGCAGTCCGGTGGTTATGACTCGCACCCACTAAAATACCTGGGGGACACCTCCGGCAGGGTGTTACGAGGCGGCCATTGGAATGATTCCTCAGTCCCTCAGCTTAGAAGTACCTAACCTAACAAAGAAAACACAAAAAATTTGGGAAAAAATATCTTTATTTCTCTACATAGTCTCCTTTTAGCTCAATACACTTTTCTCAGCGATGTTCAATAGCTTCGATACCCTGTTTATAGTGGGAATCGTCGAGCTCCTCAAAATAGCCATCAAACCATCTTAGTCCATTGTTTTGACTGTTCCTTTGTCTCAGGTGTGA